TAGCATATTTATGATACTAGTATATAATAGCATATAGTATTGACTATGATATGGATGACTATGAGGTAAGGTTTAGTTCATTATATTAGTGGGATACTATATATGGTATAGTATCTAGTATATAAGGGTAGTCTTATGATATTACATATATAGTGCAGTATTATAACTTATATAGTAACATTAGTATATGAGCAGATATAATCATATATGAGGTAGGATACATATATAATATATAGGTATATATAGGGGAGTGATGGTATATAATAGCGGTGTAGCATTAGTGTATAACATATAATATGGATGTCAGTATGAGGTTTTAAGTAGTGTCGTAGCGTAATAGGATCTGTAGTACATATATACTATACGTGCTATAGTATTTAAGGCCAGATATATTGATACAATATATATAGTTATATATAAAGACTTATATATACATATTGTATACATTATTAATATAAGTATTATAGCTATCTATAGCTACATATAAGGCTGCGCTATTGGTGAGACATATAGTATAGTAAAAGAGGAATCCTAATAAGAGTAGTTAGTTATTTTCATATATTATGTGTAAACATATGAGTAGGGCGCGGTCTTAATATATATATGATAGCATATATATAGTAATCATTTGCATATATAAGTAGTACATACAATATATCATTACATATAGTATTATTCATAATATATACATATAACATATATGAGTTACATTAGTTATACATATACATGATATATAATATGATATATGTACATATAATGAATAAATATATTATACAGTATTTATAGCTCAGATATATATATACATATATATACATATAATAGGATTATATATATTAATACAGTATATTATAGCAATATTATATATAACATATATATATGGTGTATAGGGTGTGCAGTTATATATATAATATCATATTAATTATATTTGACGAGTACATATATATACATATATTTATAACATATATATACATATAATAATATAGCAGGCGAAGGGTGATATTTACTATATAGTAGATTGACTATTATATATAATTGAGTATATTACTATATGAGGCTAATTTAGCAGTAGTTAGTAGTCACTAGCAATAATTGATAATCGTATCGATCATTATGTATTCTCTATTATGTATAGTAGGTAATAGATTATATTGATGTATATGTTAGTAATTATATAATGTATATGTAATACGCTGTTTAAGATATATATGTAGTATTTTATACTAGTATATATATGTAGTTATATATATATGTATAATATAATTACTGGGGTTTTTTTTTATATTAGTATAGTGATGTATAATTTATATATTGTGATATATTATTATATATATTATATGTATAGTTATGTTTATATTTATTATATTATGTATGTATTATATATATATATATGTTATCATATAGTGTAATTTATATAATAGGTGGGTATATATATATATATGTATACTATATACTGGTATTATATATTAATAGGTTTATAAGTATATATATTGGTATATATATTATATTATGTTTATTTATAGTATATATATTGGTAATATATTAATGATGTTATATATTATAGTATATATACATATATATAGTGTAGATATATTATTATTATTAAATATATATATATATTATATATATGTGTGTGTATATTATATAGTACTAATGTGTGTTAGTATATATGACTTAGTATATATATATATAAGTACATATATAGTATCATATATATTTACATACATTATATATACATTATATATAGTACATATATATGTCATTAGTTATACACATATTATATACTATATAATATCATAGGTATATATATAGTATATATAGCTAAGTATATAGTATTATATATATATATAAGCATATATTATATACTATATATATCATTATAAATACATATTATAGATCTGATATATATATACCTATATATATAATATATATCATAATATATATACATATATATTATCATATAATATATATATATATATACATATATATAACTATATATATACATATATATATACATACATAATATACTATACATATATATTACATATATATATAATATCTATAATTATACATATATATATATATCATATATATAAATACATATATATATATATATATATATATACATATATATATAATATATATATTTATATACATATATATACATTATACATATATATATATATATATACATATATATATATATATATATATTATACATATATTATACATATATATATATACATATATATATACATATTATATACAATATATATATATATATTATATACATATATATAATTATATATACATATATATATATATACATATATATATATACATATATATACATATATATATATATATATATACTATATAAATAATATATATATATATATATATACATATATATATATATATATATATACATATATATATATATATTATATATATATATATATATATATATATTATATATATATATATATATATATATATATATATATATACGAGAGAGAGAGACAGACTATGTGCGTATGAGAGAGGAAGTTGCAGGTCACAATAATTTTGTCTTATTTTCTTTCATATAGAGAGAGAGAGAAAGAGAGAGGAGGGGTCTGTATCCGAAACACTCATTTACAGGCTTTAAATATTTTTTTCCTGGAAGTTTCGCATTTCCCTCATGTTTCTGTTTGTCTGATAACTTGTCTATTTCAGAACTCCCAATCTGCACCTGATTGTGATTTCTATTTTTGTAGCAACATGGGAAAATCAAACATTTATAATCTTTCCTTAATAACTGGATACCTATATGCTTTTGTTCTTAATTCTGATGAATCAAAATATTGCTTTGAAATGCAAGACAGGAAGCTTTATGTACAGTGTTCTTTGAATATCTCTCATGACGCCGATATTACGAATAAAGTTTCGCACTTGGTGAAGAAGCGATTATGAAACGATAATTATCAGCTCTTTCTATGCCATATTAGTCTTCTTGCAAAAGGAAAAGAAAATGATCTACCTGTATCTCGATTCCAAGGGAAATAGAAAACGCTACTCCATGGAAATTACCAAATTCTTTGTTGTATTCCTACAGGTTTCCGAAATGGATATGAAGCGGAAGATGATGAGAAGGAAGAGGTGAAGGAGGAGCAGGAGGAATAAGAGGAAGAGGAGAAGAAAGTGGAGTAGGTGGAGAAGGAGGAGGAGGAAGAGGACGAGGAGAAAAAAAAATAAAGAGAAGGAATGTACACGGAATCTCAAGCTCTTTTGTCAGACGACAGAAGTAACCAACGACAGGGACAGACTGCGAGGGAAATCTGACGTAGCATTCCTCCGACGCAGAGATAGACGGGCTTTTTTTTGGCAAAGCAAGACCGAGACAGAAAAGGAGGAGGGTATAGGCAAGGAGGGAGGGCATGGGACAAGGGGCGTGTAAGGGAGAGGGGGCGGAGTGGAAGGGCGAAAGAGAGGTGAAAGAACCACGATAGAGAGAATCATAATCATTATTACGTTTTCATCACTGTCGTTACTATCGCTATTGCCATCATCGTAATCATTGTTACTACTATTACTATCTTTTTTACCATTATCATCATTATCATTATCCTCATACCGATCGGCTTATCATTATCATTATCATCCTTGCGTGGCTCCGGAACGTAAGCAGATACGTGTTTTGTTTGGATGTAAATAATTTTTTTGAGAACGGGGCCTGCCTGATAATCTAAACGTGTATAAAACCTACCTGTTACACGGTACATTACACCTGTAAAGCTCCAATCCCATAGTCTTTTAAATGCTCACCGTAGTAGTATCTGTAAATTGTTATTTCTTTAGTGACAAGTACACACATACCTAGAACAATATCTAACCTACCTACTATGCGATCCATTACATGTAGCCCATAACGCCCGCTTTTGCCGAATTTCACCATCTGCCCACCTAGCTGTCCTTGTCCTCATACTTTCCAGTGAACTGTATCCGCCGCTATAATCTAATACTTCGAAGCCACCATGACTTAGCACGCAAAGCCAAGCCCCAGCCCTTGAAAGCTCAGCCTTCACACTCAAACTTGGAGACAAACCATCGTCAAGGCTGGCTTCGGATTTGCTCTAGACGCTGCAGCCGAGACTTGGGCTTCAGGGTAGAAAATGACGGTGGGTTAAGGCGTGTGGATTGTTAATGATGTTGATGATATTATCTGATGTATAGATGGAGAAAGGGAAAGCGGGAAAGCGAGAGAGGAGGAGAAAGAGAGAGGGAGGGAGAGAAACAGAGAGAAAGGAGGGATCACGCACGAGCACGTTATATATTCAATGAATGAAAAGACAAATATTAGGAAACCTTAAAACAACAGTTTTGATAGCGTTTATAGATGACGTCATTGTTGAAGAAATATAGAACAAAAAATATAATTTCAATTTATAGATATGCAAGCATTTGTAAATATATTGGATAAGGATTTTTTTTTTGTGTGTGTGTGCGCTTGTTTGTTTGTGTCATTTATGTGTGTGGGAATGTTTCCGTGTGCGAGTGTGTGTGTGCGTGCTTATGTGCGTGTGCGTTTCTTTGTGTGTGTGTGTGTATGTGTGTATGGGGGGTTGTGGATATACGTGGGTGTAAAGTTTATGTATTTATAAATTTTATATGTCAGCGTCGATGTCGAGTTTTCGAAGCATCATATGTAAACAATAACACGGTGAAAAATTGTTTGCCTAGAAATCGCCATTTTAGCAAAGTCATTTTAACGATTTTCCATGGACCTGATTACATAATGATACCTGATATATCTTGGTTATTAACAGTAACTTCTAATTTCACGTCCCTGATCGTTGTACCCTAAAACGCAGGCTTTAAATTCATTGATTTGGAAATTTACATAAAACCTGAACACTGCTTTTCCCCGAACGTATCACACCTTATGGTAACAAAAAACAGATTATGCCTACTTCCAATTCTGCCTTTTCATCGCAGAGAAACTCCCCCATAGGGCGGTCGGGCCGGGGATGGTCGGCGGCGAAACAGCTGATGCAGAGAAGATGCTGAGTCACTGTGACTGGAAGCCTGCGCGGGCAAGACCTCAACCGCAGCGTCGTGATCAGTCGTCGCGGTTCCAGTGAAACAGTCGTTACCCTTCTGCGCGCTGCGACTTCCTTGCGACTCCTTTGCGCAGTAGTGTCTGTCACCTCGGTAAGGAAATTGCGCGGTTTTCTATTTTGTTATTTTGTGCACAGAAAAATTCTGTTTGTAAATTTAGCAACTACAAAATCTGCAAATTCTGTAATCAAAAAATCAAATTCTGCAATTAAAAAATGTGCAAATTTCTCATCTATGATATTTACACATACAAATCATACATAGTACATCTACAAAGGAGCCTGCATGATTTTCTCATACAAATCATACAAAGTATACATCTACAAATGCTCCAAATTCATCATCAAC